ATTGTCCAAGAATATATCTGGAAGTGTGAAGGATTTACCCCCGAAGCTAAATTGAGGCTAGGAGATTACATTTCTAACACCCAAAGCACCCCTAGTAATATGTGTTGGAAATATCGCATGTGAGATCAGCGACCGAGCCGGAGCCTGGGAGATCACGGAGTGCGAGAGGAGTATGTTCCTGAGAGGATGAATCAGTGAATCGCTATTGTGTCTCTTGTGTACCAGGCAATGGTACTTATACCTCTGAGAGGTATTACTATATACAGTCCTAATGATACTAGTTGCCACTATGCCAACAATATGTGAAGTAGAAAGGAGAATCTAGATAAAGTAGAGAGGAGAACTTAGTTAGGTACTTTTGTAAAGAGTTTATGATCGTTTGAGTGAGCAAGAATTGTTAACAGTTAATTGACTTAATTAACCCCCTTCCTATCACCAAAGTGGATGACCACTACATACGATAGAAAACCCAACCGACCAGATATCCATCTGGTGGCTACATTCCCTCCAATCCATACCATTCCTCGCATCTCCTCGCATACTTCTAGACTGCTCCTTGCATGAGGTTATCAGGAAGCCCCTGACAACCCCTGCCATATCACAACAATATGGTAGACTCCCAAGAAGAGTGATCTCCCATGACGCAGTGGACAGAAATCATGATTCGTGAATCTGAAGCGGAGACTACCCCCAAATGGTCGTCTGGGCAGCGCGCATTTATTCAGTATGATGATCTAAAGATCCCTTCATCTCGTATTTGAGGGCAAGTGTCTCGCCGCCGTCTCTGCTGGCTCACGTCTGGACTGTGTCGAGCAAGAATAAAAAAGGGTGTTCCAGTAGGGGGTTGTATCGACTACCGTAGCGATTTTAACAAGGCTGGATTAACGAGTGAGTCATTTTTTCTGCGGTGGGGTTTTGAATTCTTCCTGTTTATAGGTAGTTGTGACCCCTTGCCTGCTGAGGGGCAGGGGGTTCCGCTAGGGAAGACTCAAGTTGTTGGATTGTCGCCAACTACAGTACTCAACTCACAAACTTATAGCACGGTTGCCATAGCTATAGGCAACCGATGGCGGGCTCAACTGTCAACTTGGAACTAGGTAATTCTCATTCGGGCCCTGAAAACACCGGTTTCGTAGGCAATGGAATGCTGAATTCTCTGGACTGGCCTGAAAGGCGGCTAAACCAAGAACCGGGGCACATAAATGCGGGACGGTGGTGGGAAACAGTGATCTTGTCTCTGCTCTGGCCGGTTGTTTCTGCGGGCCAGAATGGAACCTCTCCCCTTGCTTAGACATCACCGGATCGACAAATTCTTCAAGTGCGTTCCTCAGGGGGTCGTTCGAACCACCTTGCATCTAGCCCCTAACGGAAGGGCCGACGATAATATATAATCGCCCTCATAAGTAGGCTTCGACCATCCAGTAAATACCAACAATCACTCATTAGATAATATCGCCACCATCCTTATTGTCACCACCACCGCCGTAGGTACTACCACCCTAACACTAGATCCGGGTATCCTAACCAACACAGACAAGAATGTCCTCCGCAGCCGCATTCATCATCATCCTCGGAGGGTTGCTCGCTACTTCTGCATCTGCCCGACGCACCCCACAAGGACAAGATATAATGCCCTTGCCACCATTCCATTCGACATTGTACCCGTATTCCACAAACAACTGCGACGAAGCCTGCCGCCGCGCTTTCTGTGCTGTTGTCTCGCAGTTTTTGGAGTCGGTCACTTGCACGTCTCATAAACCTTGTCTATCCTTGGATATACAACTTCATCTTCGAGAGAAGTGTATTAATTGGCGTCCGGAGGCTTCCTATCCTCGCAAGACCATTTCGAAAGATTCCTTGGGTATTTCGCTACCGCCCCCCCCGCGCGATGCCGAAGAGGAGGGGACTGAAGTCCCATCACCGCTCATGCGACCTCCTAAAACGTGGACTCACCCGGTGACTGGTAGCCCTGTAGAGGATTCGGTGATTTTGGAGGATGAGGACGAGCAGAAGGGGTTGAGGGTGATGGCTCGCAAAATACTTTGCTTTATGGGGGTCCTGGCGGTTTGCTTCTTTGGTTGGTGTGGAGGGGTTTTGAGAAGAAGGGAGAGGAGAAATCGTTTGGGGTTGGATGATCGGAGGCCGACATGGGCTAGTTCAGTTTCTGGAAAGTGTGAATCGTAGAGGCGATAATGGGGACGCTTACTTTCCAATGGATGGCTTTCGCTTGTACCTATGCAATAATTACCTAGTGCTTTCCTCTTCCCTAAATTAGTTCACGCAATCAAGTGGTCAATCGCTCTAGGGGTTCGGTGTGTCAATAGTAAATATATCTATATACATATATTTCCCCAAGCGTACTATAACCAAAACTCCGGTTACGGTGGGGTCGACCCGCCCCAGAAAGTCAATACAGTTGAGATTTCCCGCTCGATTGATTTCCTGTGAGTAGACCCCAACCCGCAGCGCCGGGATGGGCCACCACATGTGTCATCCTGAGCAGAGAGGCTCATATATACCGAGATCCCATTGGTATTATTGTGCCACATATATACTAGTTGGTGCTATTTCGGTTTGATGAGCTGCGATATTTTCTAGGAGGATTAATGTCTAGCTAGGGACTTTCCTGACATTGGAATAGAATAAGACAATCATTATTCCGTTGTGGGGGCCTCCCATCTTCCATACTCTTCTCTACAAGGAGCACATTACAGGCGTCACAACACGAGTACTGTACCTTATCATTTGGCCCCATAAATAGATTTTGGGAAGACGTCGGAATTGCCCTCTTCCGTCCAAATCTAGTGCGACCCGTATTACGGTTACTACAGATATATTTTTGGTTGCGGAATATGCAGCGCTTGGAACTTGGCTCGTTGGACCGGAGCAGGGAATGATTGTCAGCAACCGCCAGTGGTTCATGTTCCCGGCCCTTATTTCCTTCACCCTCAACTCCTTTTCCTATATTCATAAGGGTAAGTTACCGCTGTGCCCCAACCGATAAGTTCATTGCGCGGTGAATACCCATGATTGAAGTATGGTACATGCACTTGCTACTATAGCCTATCCAGACGCATTACCGGGATGGGAGGTTGCGGTTTAATTTTTAGGCATCACTTTAAGGGTGTTTTAATAGTGCGATCCACTCGAAGGGGCCTTCCAATGGGTAAGCGGCCGCGTGGGCTGCTTCCCTTAGAAAAATTTTGTCGATTAGGAAACGAGTGATTTCTTATGCGGTGCAAGTAGTCTTGAGAATTCAGAATAGTATAGTTCGTGTCACCCAAAACTTGTACCAGCTTCCACCTTTTTGGATTCTAGGGAAAATTTTCCGAGAACTCCGATCACGAGAAAAATAGCTATAATTCTGCTTCATCCTCTCTTAAACAGGTTTATTTTTCCCCTTAAAAACTCACCGGATCCAGGGCATATAGGATCTAAAAAGGTTGAATGTTTGGTGCATTTTTTGGGTGGTACGAACCATACGTGCTGTACATCCAGAGTAAGTATTCAGGGTGTGGTTAGGACACCCGGGGATGAGTTACCTTTGTTACCTTTTCAATATGTCTAGTAACGGCAGACGGTATCAAAACACCCCGAGGTGAATAAGACTAACACGGGAACCTGCAGCAAATGATACAATTATTCCATGGGCTTGTCTAGATAGTACCCAGCGCCTAGTTGCGGATTTTTGTCGTAGCACCCTTGCGGTTCATGGGTAACGAATAGAGAACTCAGATCCATCACGGGGTGGAATAGGACGACCAAAAAAGCAACCGGCACTCTTCCGAGCCCCCACAGAGCTTCACAGGGTCTGCACACAAGCTTTATAGATATCTTCTAGTACTCGTAGTGCTTGCTAGTGCGGTGTCTCTGCCTCGATTGAGGGCCGCCGGGATATCAGTTCGAAGGCCCCCAGACCCCGGGACTCTCCTCGATATACGGTAAACAGCCTAACTGCAAGTTGCAATATCCTAGCAGACTTGAAAAGGCAACCCAAAGGAATAAGACCCTCTCATAACGTAAAACACTCCGTATGGATGGAACAACTGTCAGGCTGCCCGCTAGACTGTTGGGTTCGGTTCGCAGAGACCCCGGCTCTCGAGAAATGATGAATGGCTGGTCTAGTGCTCGTTAAGACCAGGCTAGCGCAGGATTTCATGAGAAAGACTGAATTTCCCAATTGATTTGCTGTTGTTTCCTGGTCGGCAGGCTATGGATTAGACTAACCTGTTATATAAACCCTTGGCCCCCTCTTTCCAGCTCGGGATTCGTGAAGAGGAAACGGTGCTGTCCTGAGCATTACCTCAAAAAAAAAAGAAAAAAACTAGGGAAAATTTATTGGTCGAAGGGCGCACCTCCAGTCCAGAGAATGATTATTCCGCCACCTTACCCAACACGTGACTGTCGCACGATCGGAGAAAAGGACTGGGGTAATATGAATATGTGCACCACTCGATATGAGAATAAACAAGTAATAACAGCAGGGGTTTAGGCAATGTGATATTCTGACCTGATTCTGAGCTCGCTTTCCGCTGCGACAAATAACTTATCTCGCTACTTGGAGTGCGACCCCGCAACACCCTCAAGGTCCACCGGTACAGTACACTCACACCCCGCTATCCCGGAGGGCCAAAATTTGGAAGAACCTGTCCGGTACAACGGGAAATTTTTTGGATCAACAGCATTTCATACGGAACAGCGAAGCATCCGGTTCGGCGCGATCCGGGATAAGTACGTACAGTGCTCTAGAAGCACGTGTTAAAATACCACAGACTATTATCTGGTCAAATCGGGTGGTGCCTGGGTTGGATTGAATCGCCCCATGCACGCAAGGAACGGTTGGTCAGCTGGGGCTGAGGCTGCCTCACAGGAGTTAACACGATCTCCATGATACGGGGATTAAAACCTTGCACGGAGATCCTCATTTGGGGAGATAATCCGGTACTCGAGCACAGTACAGTACGGTACCATAGGCCTTGCCACCGCTTGCGGTGCTCAAACGGTGGTCAAGGGCCTTCGCTATGGATCGCTGCTGGTACTATACGAGTAGTGGCGGAAAGCTAAAGCCTGTCCTCCACCTAAAGTTCCTGGAAAATCTGGACATACTGAATTATTAACATTGGAGGAAAAAACTTTAAAAAGAATTCCTCCGGTAATTTTGTGAGGGACCCCTCTTAAAAGCATCTAATGATTGCTATCCTGTTTTTACCTTATCAATACATTTAAAATCAATGACTAGAATTGTGTTGTAGGGGGCTATTGATAACATTTCCAACTCTAACTCAAACCGCCACAACAATTTTCTAGTGAACCATGGGTGAAAACAAACAACTTTACCGGGGGAATTTGCAGCATACCTTCTGAAGGAGATGTTACTCCCAGTTTTGAAATTTTCAATCGATTTGGCGACGAGGGCAGGTTCTGGTTGCACAGGAACCATACACGTACTCGTATCGACATTTACGGTCCACTGGTGGTCGGGTTTCTCATTTATCCTCGCTTTCCGGTATCGCGCTGTACGTACGGTACAGTACTCGTACTCGAGCAGCTGAGCCGATGCAGCTGCATGTCTGGGAGAAGTTTGCCTTATTCCGCCATCCACTACTGTACGGTACTTGTACCTGTAGCTCAGATCAGCCAGCCCAATTGGAATCGTGGCGCGGCAACTGGAGTGCCCCTGGAAAAAAAGAAACCAAAATGGTAGACTTCTGTGCTTGGCAGGAGGTACAAGTACGAGTACAAGCACCGCGGAAGGGCGATTGGACAGCAAGTTCCAGGGGAGAAATTCAGGATACCGTATCGTACGGTACTCGAGCACGAGTCCTCCTCCTCGGCCGTAATTGGAACAGCGACAAGGCATGAGGCACTGGAGCTTGGCCGAATGGGAGGTAAACCATCAAGATTGGCATGGACAATCCGAGGCAGCCCCTAAAAGAGAGAAATTATCATACTGCCACTCCCCGCGGTTGTCTGCCGTACCGTTCAAAACCTTTGAGGATAGTGGGAAGGTGGTTGATTGCTCGTGCTTAAGCCTGGCTACTCTGTGCCGCCTAGGTTAAATAGTTTCTACTGCCAAGAACACCACTCGGGAAACATCGCAGACTGGAATTGATTGTTTTCAAAGGGATTCTGGCAATGCTGGGGACCTACCAAACCACTTCAGGTCACCGCCATCAATCAGGTTGCTTCCTTCCCTTCCTGTGCAGTTTGCATATGGTATGCAATCTCGATGCGTGCTCGGCACGGTAATACTGACACTTGCAAGGAAGGAGGTGAGGCTGGGCTGGGCGGCTAACCCTATGAAATGTCAACGAGGACACAGTGAGCAATTTGCTCGGGGGGCACGCGAGCTTGAGACCATTGGTTCGGGACTTTTGGTTGGCTAAAGTTTCCCGGTTACAATCATCCAGCCGGGCCCGTTCTGCGCCCTGATTGGTTCAATCTTCCGTTTCGTTTCCACCCGGCGCCATGACCTCCTATCAAATGTATGGCCATAGATGAGAGCGCCAGCGATCCGGGTGTGGGCTCTGGGCACTCGAGTACTTAGGTATGCCACTACCCTCTCGCCCCCTTCCCAGTTTTGCGTGCTGGTTTTCTCCCCTAAGGATTTGCCGGTGCCTGTCGTTTTGATATTTGCAGTTATTAGATCTGCGTCCATTCTTTTGGCCTCAAGTCCAAGCGATATCGGAGTAAGTGGTCCTAATACCTTTTCACTGAATGTTTAGCATTGATGTCGGGGAAGTGATGTTTTGCTGACTGGTGGTAAATGTAGCCATTTCCCTCTTGAATACCTCCACGCAAGGCGTGATTTGGTATCCGCGAAAAAGAAAAAAAAAAGACTTTCACTGAGGCCGGCGTCCACTTGCTTCGTACCGTCTTACGAGATTTGACTGCTCTCCTGGCCGTTATGAATCTGTGACAATTCAACATAACAATAACGTAGCTGGAATAGACCGGGTCAAACTTAAGGAGGCGGGGGAGGCTATTTGAATAAACCAAGATCAAATGCATTTCTCGACATCACTATACCTATTCGGTTTCTTGACCCTCGGGGCGGCATTCCAGGAGGGTGTATCGGCCGGTCGTGGTCATCAGCGATTTCACCGCCGACACGCAACGGCTGGCGGGATAGTACCTGCGGGGGTTATGCCCGCCAAGGTCGAGCCGGCTACCGTGGAAGGCCCGCCGAATAACGCCATTGTGGACATCTCGACACCGCCGGATAATGCGCTTGTAACTCCTACGTCGATTATTACGGGTCTCGCAGGTATTCAGACTTTAATACCAACAACGTTAGCGACCGTTGTTAAAGTTTCAGAATATTCCACCCTTTCGGCTTCGTTATCTGCGCCACTTCCTACCTCTGGAACATACGTGGTACCTACCAGTGGTACACACGAGCTGTCTTCCGATAGTGGCATCGCCCCCACGACAGCTTCTGCCACTGGAAAATCAGTGGTTTCGTCTGCGCCCCTGACTATGGTAACATCCGGCGTCATTAAAACTGAGTCGACTGGTGTCGTTACTTCTACCGAAGGGGGTTCTACTTCAAACTGTAGTTCGACATCATCTCTTAAGCCACCTACTACCATCGCCGCACCCCCATCCTCATCCGGAGTGAATGCCACCACGACTTCATTCTCTGTGATCGTCAGCAGTGCTACTATCGGCTCCATTACATTAATTCCTGCCACCAACATCACCACCACCAACACCACCACTACCACCACGGCTAGCTCATCTTCCTCTAAAGACCCTATAACGACCACTTCGACCTCAACCCCCACAACAGCGTGGTCTAGCTCTGAGGGAACCTCCTTCGAGCACTCGATGCCCGCCTCCTCGACCCCAACAACAACTTACAGACTAACTCTCGCCACGCCTTCCACGCCCCCAGCAGCGTCGCGGTCAAGTGGCCTGGACATGGCAGAGTTCAACAAGACAAAACCATGCTTCGACAAGAAATGCGAGGATCCAGAAAGTGAAATGACTTATAATAAGACTGTAACGTTCAACGCTGATAGTGGGGGCGATGGAGGGATCAGACTGGGGAAGGGACCGGGCGTGGCCAGTGTTGCCACCGGGGGAAGGGGCGATGGGACATTGAGGGCGGGGATGGCGGTGGTGGTGGCTGGGGTTAGTGTTGTTCTGGCGGTATTGTAAAAAGGAAACAAATCGGATTGGATGTATTATACCCATTCGTGGTTCTCGCAGAGTCGATTATCAGTTGTCTATTTTTCATTTCTGTTCTGTAATTTTTTATCCCTCCTATTTCCTTGTGTTTAGATTCCTAGTCCCCCACAGTGCCGTCCCTCCTTCCTCTTGTAGAGGTGAGGATGTGTAGAGGTGGCAATGGGGATTTGTATTTTAATATTCACTTTCTACTAACCGAAGGCCGGATTTCACTTTCCTCCGACGGGTGTCATATATTTTTGTCAGACGGGGCGATTACTCTGCATTCGAATTAGATGGCAGGGAATACCAATGTAAACTTATCCATTGAGCTACTACCATACCATACCATCCTTGTTCCTCCGTGATGGAAAGAAGCGGGAGTAGGATTTGGCAGGAGTCGACCCGGCTTTCAGGCTCGAATCGCATGATCCCCACTAACTATGATATGGTACGAACCAGGATTGCTCGAGCCTCCCAGGTCCTAGCGGATATAAAGTACAAACGGGGGCACTGATCGTATAATACCATGGGACATGGGCATCACAGCGAGCACCGGTAGGATATTCTAAATTACCCTATCATGATTGGCTAATAGAGCTATCGTTGCAGGTCCCCGACGAGTGATCTGCCGTGAGACACAAATCTTGAGCGCACTTCCCAGTTTCGGTGGTGGGGGCGGTATTATAGGTAGTAGACGCTATCCTAGCTCAGCTCTCCGCCCCCCCCCCCATGCTCGTGATCCTGTGCTCTAGTTACCCCCGGACGAAGGTATGATACGCGGTAAGCAAACCTTGGGGCTCTTGCGATTCGAAGTGACGTGACATCGCGGGGATGGCTTAACCTGTTGATGGGAAAAGTGGGTGCTCAGGTGTTTGGAAGCGTTTCTCTTCTCTTTTTGGCTATGGTAGGTGTTGAAGTGTATACGGTAGTAGTCCGGGAGCTTTGTTGCTGTTAGCTGTCGGGGTAGGGTAACGGGTGGGTGTGGTATTATTGCTGCCGTATCAGCTGGGATTGATACAGTAAGAACAGCGCTCGGGAGCCGCTGATGGTGTTGGAAGTGCGCATGGTTTTTTATCATCTCGCTGTTTATGGCATTATATTACTGGACAGCGGGTATGATAATGCTTCCCACAAACCTGCCCTGAGGAAAACCCGGAACTTGGGCGAATGAGCTCCGGCGAACACAAGCCAGTTATTCCCAACAATCACTATTCCTGGTTCGTCATCCATCACCCACCATCACTCACCCAGTACTAATTCCAAAAAAAGAACACCTCTCCGAGTAACTATCCTTTATTTTTTTGTTGTTTCTGCGGTGGTAGAATGTAATTTCTATAGCTACGCTTTCCAAGGTGGCTGTTAGGAATCATCCTGTGGTTAGTTATTTGACAATGGTGGGAATAGCGTTGCTGGAGAGTAGGGTTGGAAGCGCGGGATTGTGTTCCTCTGGTGAGTTTTTGTAAAGAGAGAGTAGCTGAATACTTTGTCTCTTAAGTTTGTGTCTTTTGGCTCATCCGAAATGGAACAAATAAATTGCAGTAGTGAAAGTTGGGCTTCGCTGGTGGGAAAAATTGGTTATAGGGGGTTGCTTGGGGATGGCCTTGTTACTAAGCTGGCGCAAGTACTATCTCTAGGATTTCTCGTGAGAATAACTAGCTGCTAATCCTTCTTTGTCACCCGGGACCGGGAGGTAAGGCAACGCACCAGCATGGCTGGATCTGATTAAATTTGCACTAAATCGCGTTGCGTTCGAGTGCACTGGGGAGAACTCCAGGCGGAGGTAATGAAGAGTAAACAGTTTAAAGGATGACTATTGGTCTGGATGGACCATATTACTTGTAAACCCTAGCGCATTCCACCCCAATGCTGAGTATACGTTGAGTAAGAAACTAAATAGTAGAAAGTGAGGTGCTCGCCCGGATTGATGGGGTGACCTTCGGATCCCTCCGAGTTTTTGAATTGAAGAGACCTGAGTACCGTACTTCGCTCCCCCAACTAAGCTATTAGCATTTGGTAGGACTTCCTTGCCCCTCTTTACCTGCAGGTTAGGTCACGGGCGGGCGAACAGAAGGGGTGGAGTGCTTGTGCGGTAATAACGCCATCGTCTGTTTCGAATTCTACAGTCTACCGCTGTTAAAGAAGGATCGTGAATGGACGGTTGTAGGGGGAAAGAGGATGATGCCGGGCAAGGGGTGCATGGTTTCTGTGCTCGAAAAGTATCCCCCGCCCCGGTGTGGTGAAAGATTGAAATTAGGGGGGAGATCTTTAAACTAAAGTATGTTTGAGGTCCGGGTGTTTTTACAAACCATTGTTCTAATCAGGGGTTTGGCCCCAACCATGGTTTATGGTTCGGTCGAAATGTGGGCTACGGCAACGACTATTATAAATACCGACGCGGCTAATAGCCCCCCAATTTATACTGCACTCAGGGTGCGCCTTTCCCCCAGACACTGTGTGGTGGAATCAAGGAGGGTATGTGCGAACAGGGGGCCGGAAAAAGCGAAGCGCTATGCAAGTCCCAGACTTAGTTCCTGTCGATATCCCACAGTTGAATTCTAAGCTCACTTGTTCCTATCGCGGCAGAATATACGGCAAGTAAGTTGAGAATTTCCGTCGATTTGACACCCAATGTATGATACGAACGCTATTGTATATACAGTCCCGAGTCACGGCCAAAGGGTAACCCGTATGTAGCTCGCCCGCCTCGCACAATACCGCCTCCTACGAGGAAGAACTAACACCGCTCGCCATAACCTTCTGTCTTAAAACTAGTCCTCAAGTTAGCACCTCTAACTCCATCCGTCCACAAATTACCAGCGGAATAACTACTCACTATTCTCAACAACTTGCACACTCTGACTCTTCTGCGCAACAATCTTCTCCAGCTCCCCCAGATTCCCCGTGAGCGTTTTCACCTTTTCAGCGTAGAACTTCTCCGCGTCAGCAGCGCTCTTCTCAACGTAGTACCCGGTGCCGACATCCACGAGGACGTTTTCCGTATCCGAGAGCGTCCCAGGAACATAAAGCGAACTGGTAAGCGGGACTAAAATAGTCTTGCCTGTCATCCTTTCCCGTCAGCGAGCCAGCGGGAAGACGGGGAAGAGGGGGACCGACCAGGGCGGAGCCCAGTCTTAACCGTTGCTATGCATTCTTTGAATTTGTTCTGGGCCTGGCGGAGTTTTGCGAATGAGGTAGTTAGGTGCTCGAGTTCGTCGTCAAGTTGCTTTTTTACGGCGGCGAGATTGTCGACGCTTAGGGTTGAGATGTCGACTATTATTAATTGTTAGCTTGGAAGGGATTCCTCGGGAGAGAGCGGGGAGCTACCGGTCTGTTGTTGCGGGGCTTTATCTTTGGAGGACATGATGTGGGGCTTGCAGGGCCTCACTACGGTACCCGTACTGCTTTTTTGATGGAGTGGTTGAGGGGATGCTGGGGCCGGGTAACCGTATCTCGACAATGAATGAATGGCAGGGTCCAAGGATGGTAAGGGCTGGAGACGGATGTGTGTCGGGTCCGGAGCCCGACGGGAATGCACGGGGGAAGATGGCGGGGTAGTGCTGGATCAATCAGCCCGGAAATATAATAATGCTGCCACGATAGGGAAGGAAAATCTTGTGGTCAGCAGCTCCCTCCATCGGGGGAGCTATAAAATTGTAAATCGAGTGACATCTCGTGATGTAATATAAACCTAGAATAAAGTTTACAATGCGGTCATATAGATCGGTAGGCCGGAAGGAAGCTCACCCACCACCACCACCACCGACAATGGACCTCAACTTCACACTGAGCCCGGCCTCCACCCAAAAACTCCACGAATCGCTCGTCGCCCTCTCCAAATTCAGCGAATACGTCTCCCTCGAAGCCCGCCGTAATAGATTAACCCTTTCCTCCCTAAACTCTTCCAAATCCGCTTATGCCGCCGTAACCCTCGCCGGGACCAGGTTCTTCGAAACATACAATTTCCCAACGCCCTCGCAGTCACAGGAGAACCGGTTTACATGCCGCTTCTATGCCAAGGCCCTCCTGTCTACTTTTCGGCAGCGCTACTTCGACAGTAAATCCGGTGACACGGCCATCGAGAGGTGTGAGGTGCGCTTCGTGGAGAAGGGGGAGTGTAGGATGCTTGTGCGCTTGCTGTGCAGGAATCGGGTGCTGAAGACGTATCGTCTTACCTATGAAGAGGTGGACGTCATGCATGCCGTGTTTGATAAGGACGCGGCGAGGAATATGTGGATTGTGAAGGCACGGTTTTTGAGGGACTTCATGGAGCATTTCGGCCCCAAGGCGGAGCAATTGGATATTTCGAGTGAGAATGGTCGCGCCGCCTTTACGAGCTTTACCGAGAAGTTGGTCGATGGGAAAGGTTTGCCAGCTCGCTGTTTCGTTGCGTGTTTGGGATAGTTTGGCTGATGGGACTAGAGATACTGAAGCAGCCGTTGCAGACCTCTGTATCCTTTGATACTGCTGATTTCGATACCTTCGGCGCTGAAGATGGCGTGCATGTTGCTGTTAGTCTGAAGGATTTCAAGGCTATCGTTGCTCATGCAGATTCTCTTCATGCCTCGGTAACGGCTTATTATAGCGAAGCTGGTCATCCGTTACAAGTAACATACGAGCAGGAGGGAATGAATTGTGAATTTACGCTCATGACGTTGGGAGACAATAGGGCCTCTCAATCGTTTACTACAACCAGGGTTGAACATCAACCTCCCGCCCCCCGCCCTCCACCAGAGGCTGCTCCTCCGCAATCGCAGACTAATACCCCTTCCCAACTGCGAGGTTTGATGGATCCACCAGGGAGCCTTAGGCCTCAATTTACGGGTAGTCTCCCTTCACAGCGCACCACCGAAGACAGAGTGATGCAGCCAGCAGAAGATCATCAATCCAGCGGGTCATTATATCGTTCTCGACTAAATGTTTCAGGGACGGCGGGTTCCAGATCTGCCTCCGCATTCACCCAGCAACAGGAGCCGGAGTTCCCGCCGGTGCCGGCTAGTGCTCTGCCTCCTGAAGGCTTATTTCTACCATATTCAAGCAGCGATGGGGAGAGTGATGATGACGACCTTGGGAAGGTTGTATGGGACGAACCGTTCCTTAAATGGGACACTAATTTGAACAGCGATGACCGGCCAAGGCCGGTCGTCAGAGATCAGTCTCCTCCGCCACCCCCACCATGCGCTCCACCAGCAGTAACGCGGAAGAGGGCCTTTGAACCAAGTGGCGATACGACGCAGAGCGAGGGAGATGAGCAAGGGGAGATGAATGCGGAGACGGTCATGGAAGCGGTTGGGCCTACGCAGGATATTTCTCAGGCGAGGGGGCTCTTTGACTAAGGTGTATATGTGCATAGTCATAAAGGACTATTCACGGTAGATATTAACGACAGCTATCCATGAGTGTATAGTACGCCTCATCGGCGCTTGGGGCCCTCAAAAATGAACGAACGTATACATGAGTGCCAAACGTTCATCATAACCCATACGTGCGTGAGTGCGTCATGTATCATCGCCTTATTTAATCCTCAACCTATTCTTCAACCCATCCCAGACTCGCTGGATGTGGAAAGGTATCACCTCATCCATCGCTTCCTTGAAAGTGACATTCCGATAAAGCTCAATAGGAATGTCCCCGATAAACTCCCGATCGCCAAACCCACCGACCCAGTAAACACTCCCGACTTCGAATGTAACCCACTCACTCTCGTGGATCGGGTTTCCGGGCACCCACCACCTTGCGTCAGGATGCGCCTTTATAAAGCACGCCCTGGCCCGTCTGCCCTCATCGCTATTCCTGGGGATGGGTCGACTTAAACGACCCATCAGTGAAAGACGGTGGTGCGCAGCCGGTGAATAGAATTCGCTGGAAGGGGAGTGCTCGCGAAGGGTTAGGGAGATTGGGGCGCCGTTTTTGGCATTTCTGAAGGATGTGGCGATTTTGATTGCTAGGAGGGTGGGGTTTCCGTTGTTTGAACTGGACTGGATGTTAGATGGTGTGTAGATCACCCGTATGGGTACGGTGAGGGGTTAGATGGGAAAAGAAGCGCGGTACGAGTACCATACCAATCAGCGTAGTAGTCCATCATCCCGATAGGATGACCGCCAAGTCCGCTTGCATCCGAGCTTGGGAAAACGGTACTCAGCGTACCGATCTTCTCGGAGCGAAGTAGCTCGCGGGCTTGCACGGCTGCTTCTTGGACGGTAGGGACTTTGGAAATGTCTTCGGCCAGGTGTGCTATGGCCAATGGGAGGGCGAGGAGTAAGTGGGAGAGGGGAAAATGCATGTCGGGCGCCTACTCGTATGGGGGGGCTCGGGTTGGTTGTGATCGTCCCACTCGTTGCGGCTCTTACAATAAATTGTTGTCTCGGCCTTGGGCGGGAGGCTGGTAGGGATATTTAGATCATCTGATAATATTTGTGAAACTAGAGAGCCTCATCGAGATCTGATAAATTTTTTTTTTTGAATTGGTGGTTGGATTGAAAATGCCGGCTTGTCTGTTTTATAGGCGGGATGTTCACCACTACAACCACCCGCACAATGCCCAATTGCTGCACCTGCTGGCGGCGAAATATCACTGCGTTGATATCTACACATGTCTCTCGACGAACGGCATATGCCTCCGCGGCTCGGGTCGGGGAACGAAGATTTAGGGGCCGCAATTCTGGGCTCTTTAGGGACCCACACAAACTGGCTGATGCCGTGAAAAAGCAGTTGGTTCGGGGGGACGATAACAAAGCGTTACAACTGGCCCGGGAAGGGAGTCGGACGCTCAATAGCGTGGTTAGTTGGAACCACATTATCGGATACAATATCGAGCGGGGGTGCTTGAGGGTTGCCTTTAAGGCCTTTAATGATGTACGTCTGTCTATCTGAGCTGTGCCGGTGGAGTGGTTTTGCGAGAGTTAATGTTTTTGGTTTAGATGAAAAAAATGTCGATATTCCCCGACTCCTATACATTCACGATTATGCTGAACGCCCTGGCAGAGATTCCGAATCAACCGTCGGCGCATGAGAGGGCGCTGCAGTTGTACCATTCTATGAGCAATCCGAATTCGTCGGTTGAGCCGCAGATAGTACACACTAATGCTGTGTTGAAAGTGTGCTCGAGACGCGGGGACGTCGATTCCATATGGGCCATTGTTTCAAAGTTACCGCTCAGCGGACTCAATGCGCCGAATGCGATCACATACACTACGCTGCTGAAGGGGATTCAGGGTGTACGCGAGGTGGAGGAGGGCCGGAGAGTCTGGGCGGGGGTTCTGTCCCGGTGGAATGCCGGGAAGTTATGGGTTGACGGGCAATTGGCCTGTGCAATGGGACGGGTGCTCCTATCGGGCACGAAACCAGAGCACTGGAAGGAAACCTTCAAGATTGTCGAGCAGGTATTCGGCATCAAGGATCCCAATCCCGAGGAGCAGGAGATAAACCCCGAGGACCAGCTATATGTCGAGGGAACGACAGAGTCCATCAACGGGATCAGAGACCTTCAGACGCCCGGGGGTGGAGACCCAGATGCGCGAGTCCCCTACGTCCCGCCCCCCCTCCGCGGGCAAACGACGTGCGGGGATCCCAGCTCTGGATCCAACTCCTCCTCTACACGACCCAAGCCCGGCACCGACGTCCTCAGCCTGGTCATCAGGGCATGCACGCAACTATCTGATAAAGAACTAGGAAGATACTACTGGAAAACCCTAACCGCACCTCCCTACTCCGTGCGACCGGACATCGAAAACTTCCACGACCTTCTCCGCCTGCTACGAAGGTCACGCTCGGGCCCAGATGCCCTACATGTCCTTCAGGCAATGCGTTCCCGCCCCGACACAACCCCGACGGCAAAGTCGTTCTTCATCGCCATGTCCTGCTGCAAGCGCGAGGGTCGCGGTCCTGGCTTCCCCACCGCCGAAAAGATGCTCGAAATGATGCTCGAACACCGCGTCCGCATTGATGTCAAGATAGTAACCATCTTCCTCCAGTGCGCTATCAAGACCGGGAACCCAACATACTATAAATCGGCACTGAAGACTGCAGAGGATATATTCGACCTGCGGGGCGAATTGGATAAGCTGGTCAGACTTAAGGCTGATGGCGACTTGCTCGAGACTCACGTGGAGTTGGCGAAGTGGATGCAGGGGGTTATCGACCGGTTACTGGAGAACCCTGATGTTCCATGGGGACACGGCGAGAGAGCAGTGTTTGAACAGAGGAGGGGTGGGTTGGTGAAGCTTATTGAGAGGTTTGGATGGATTGCGGGCGGCGCTGAGGGTGGTGGGAAGAATTGGAAGGCCAGGATTGCGTGATTATGAGGGTGAGTCGGGGCGCTTTCCTCTTGTATATAAGGGTTTCTCGGTGCTTTGGTGTTGGATAGGCTTGTGGTTTTCGCGAGTGTCATGTTCCCCGCCCTAAGATGGGTTGTCCACAACAAATAAGATGCTGTCAAGTTGCGCTTCAACTTGAGCGCCATGAGATAAAAAGATAAAAATAAAGATAAAAGGAAAAAAAGAAAAAAAAACTCCTCGTGAATTTACCAATGCGCTTTTTGGGATATTGGGCTTTCTTAAAAGGATGGTATTAGGCGGGTTTCGATTTTACCGTACTACGTGCGGTATACGACACGGTACGGTACTATCATACCACTTTATGGAGAGAGAGAGAGAGAGGGTCGGCTACCTTAACCTAAGCTGACCTTACCGGTACTTGATAGTTGTATAGTTATCAGAACGGAGTGGGGCGGAACAGCTCGATTGGCCAGTTTGATTCTCTATCTCTTTATTAGATCTTCCCGTGGGCTTACTCGTATGTACGGGTACTACTGCACTCCTAATCCCGGGGGCTTTTTTTTCTCTCATTCAAAGAAGGGCCTCCTACCGGTAGTACTTGTGGATACCGCCAATGGCGTTTTCCCTTGTAAATGTCCGGTGAGCAATGGTGGTTCTGTTTAAAAACGGTTCGGCACCACCACAGGTATGCAATATCAGCCCACATGCGGCGTCATGCAATATCACACATGTAACTTTCACCTGCAGAGCGAAAGCGGAAGGTGAAAAAACAGAACAAAACAGATCTGAGCCCTCAATTCAGTAGATGGAGGGAGATACGGTCTGCACCTCCACCCCTCTTGATGCAACGAACCTCGGAGTCGCCAGTCGTGAAAAAGTGCAGATGTCGGATGCGGTCCTCTCGTGGGTTCCGAGTGGGTGCACTTGTCTATTCGAGATATTGCGCAACCGTACATGGACTGTGTATGTGGTGCTACTTTGCCGATAGGTGGATATGTGTATCGTGCATTCTTGGTTCTTTTTTTTTTCTTTCTTTCTTTTCTTTTCGGGGGAGGGGATGGGTCCTTGGGTGGTGTGGGTGGGTGCGTTTGTTGGGTTTTCGGTACCATGGTATGCTGCCACGTCCCTCGGGCACGAGGCTCGGAATGGGAGAGGAGGGGGGGGGGGGGGGGGGGCGATAGGGCTGAGGCCGTTTTTTGTGTTTTCTGGTTGGAAGGGATTTCCAGCTCTGGCTTGTCTTGTTTGGTGGGCCGGTGGAGGAGTTTGATATCATACGGATATTGACTCGATCCTCCTCTACTCTATAGGGTGGGGCGGGAAAGCGGGCTGGGGCGTTTTTGGTATTGGGAGGTATACTAGAGGACGGGTAGGGTTGGTAGTTATAGTTTTGAAATGGTGGTTCGGGTCAATTGAAAATGGCCAGGTTGATGGCTGGTGATGAGGGCTTTGGTTGGTAATCAAGTCATGGCTTATCACTACATGTCACTGGTCAGCCTAACACCCAGCGCGGGGGTGTGGCCGGGCTTCACTCGTGCTGGATATTTGGGAGGATATCCTGGATGGAGAGTGGAGGATATAGCAAACTCGTGGTATCTCTCAACGGGGGGTCTTTGTAACTAGATATATATAGGATGTTATGCACCCCCCCTAGATGCCGGTGCAACACTCTGCGGTGGTTTCCTTTTCCTCCTTCTCACTGATTCCCATCCAATGTATTCGCTCACAGAAACATAGCTCGTCCAACTTGTTTTTCCACACGGAAACCTGAAGGGAAAAGAAAATTATTAATTAAAGCCACCTGTAATATCGTTCCGTTTCTCTATTCCGCCTACTACCTTGCCTTTCTTTTCCCGTTTTGCCAACCGGTGCAAAGGCCTTTTTCGAATATACCGTCATGTGAAATCACTCGTAAGTATTCCAATGAGGGTCTTGACGGATATGTCCGGCACACGGTGTTTTCGATATGCAAGTAGAAAGGAGTGGAAAGGGAGTGGAAGAGAAGCTAAGTAGAATAGAAGCAGGCGGTGGCTGATCAATTGGTTGATTGCGTGTTTGGTTGCTTGAATAGGCTAAGGTCGTGCGTGACCCTCTAGGGACCCCTTGGGTGCTCCAGCTGTGGTGCTGGAAGCGGTAGCTCTTCCGAGATACGGAGTCTAGCGGACTGAATACATTCCTCGCTAGACATCCGAAACGGCGAGGGTATCGAGAAGGCTGGAAAGTCAATGGGGTGATGAAGTGCTTGGCAATGCCGCTCAATTACCTTCTGGATTCCTGAGCCTACCAGGGATAACTTTCGGTCGGGTTGGATACAAGGCTGGCTCGTGCCACGCGGCAAATCCAAACCTTCAGATGATAGGAGGGGTGCAAGGAAGCACGTGCTCAAATTTAATGGTGGATATGGGGCTTTTATTAGACATTGCTGCATTTTAGAAACGTGATCATATGGGGAAACTTGCACGTGAATTCTGGACGAAAACAATGTAGGTTAGATACAAGGTGCAAAAGCGATGGCTGCATTGGCACATGAGTATCTGGGGGAGCTCTTGGTTGCGGTCTGGCATCTTGTGCGGCCATTTTGAAAGTCCATGACTGGAGAAGTCCCCTCTAAGTGTTACCACACTCATCGGATATCACTCGACAGTCACCTCTACACTTGGTAGCTATCCAGGATTCGTAATTCCTGGTTTGAAAGTTTGACGAGATACTCTAAATTAGGTTATTACTATTGGGGAATACTGTAGCACTCTCATGTTATTTGCTTGCCAATTCGTAGATGCCTGCGGGGACCGCGCCTTCCCCAACCCAGTTTGCCTTTAATATCATTGGTACCTACGGTGGTATTCATTAACACATGTCCGAAAATCGAAAGTGAGATGGCAACGGCCGAGGGTGGCATCGGCGGTGATGACGGAATTCAGATATACGACTAGAGCTATAGCTTCGAGTAGTGAAAGCGGTGATTCTATTCATCCTGTAATCAGAGATAAGGTTTCAACAGGGGAAAGCAATTTCTATGTTCGCAGATTGACCGAAGGGGTCGTTTCAGGAGTTGGAAGCAATACTTGCACCTGAAACTCTACCATTATTGTGGAGAGAGAGAAGATAACAGTTGAGATTGTTGGTGTAGAAACTTTGCCTCCACAGGAAGAAGTCAATGGGATATCTGGTCGCCGGAGCTACTAGTATCCCCTATCTCACTACATTTTTCCTCCTCCTGTTGATAGGTAAACCTAGCTCGGGAACGGTAGAATGTGGATTGACGTCCGCAGTCTGGTTACGCAAGTTTGCCGTTGGCTTTAGGAAGAGCCGAATCTCGGCGATCAGATACCAGTGCTGGGCAGGGTTTGAGGAGTACCGGGAAGTGCTCTGTGGACAATTTGTTAGGCGTCACAGGAGAATGGTAGGATGTTGTGGATTTATTCTGGAAGCGACTGGAGTGCGGTGGAATATTTGGGAGCACTGTGAGTAGCTCTCGCTAAAGTAGTTTGCTGAGGGGTTTCTCGGGGGGGTCTTTCCTTTGTTTTCAAGGGAGTGCAGGGGGGGGGGACACGTACGGAGGAAGAGAGGTGTGCGCCGATATATAGAAGGATAGGACCGTTTTGATTTCGTTTCGCATATACTCCTGCCTTTACTGCTAACTTGGAGAGTGGGGGACTGGCGAGATAACGAAGTCTCTTCCACCATATCTTTCTTACTCACTGGCGAAGTGCAGAGAAATTCCTCCCACTATACCGCCGGGCTATTTGTTGGCCAGGTCACAGCCATTCAAAGCTCCCCTTGTGAAACAATTGTTTTATCTGTGTAGCGTGCTGTTGGGGTGATAGTATTGCCTACGCTGGGTAGTGAATGATCCCACCTGGCGGATAGGGGATACTCTGTGATTTGTTGCCTATATGAAACAAAAAGCTCGCTCGCAGCTCTCGATAAGGTCACCGGCCATTCACACAGCCCACCATTATTCTTCCTTTCCTCCTTGCCGGGGCTGCTAACAACCTGTCAGCCCTGGCAAGCCGGCGGTGAGGAGACGGGAAGAGGGGGATATTTACATGCAACTGGAGTGGGAAAAAGCATTGCAGCGGGAAAGACACTATAGTGAGCTAACGCCTACCGGAGAATCATCCACCTTGTCATCTACTCGAGTAATAGAGCCGTAATTCTCACCGGAGTGGTTCAGAATCATTTCGGGAGGTTGAGGAATATTTTCTCTGCAAAGTGCGCGGGTCACAGTGACCCCTCGCCATAGCTTTTGGACCTTTGTTCAGATGAATTCAATTCGCGCCGCTGTCTTTCGTATGCAACGCCATGCTAATTCCAGCTTAGGTGATATCGTATCATACTAAGAGGGGGAGGTGTGGCAGCCCCGTAATCCAACTCTCATTCTCCCATCCCTCTCTACTCGTAGTGGGAATTCGGCGGCGTTAGAGTGGCTCCTACCGGGAGAATTTTGTCGTCTCTGGACACCAGCTCCGGTGTTTCTTGGTTGTTTCTCCGCTAGTGTGTTTCGTATCACCAAATTGATGGCGGGACGGGTGAAAAGCAGGTCTGCTAGCCCCCCAACACCCTCCATGATACTCACGTCTACAGCGTGGGTGGTTAGTGGGCGCTCGCTGAGCACGGCACCATACTGTTCGTTGAGCCACATAATCCATAGCGACCAGTGACCCACTGTGGTTGCTGCGCTGTACAGTACAGCCATTATATTGTTCACAACCGTTTCGAGAGTCCTTGCGCTATTGTACAGCACACCGCCTGAATTCTATCCGAAAAACACTATATACGTTTTATCTATCGTGCAGGGGGAAAGGGGAAAAAAACTATATAGTGCAAGGAAGGGAGGAAAGCGCTCAGGCAAGAGTATACAGCTAGAGAAAATGTGAATATGATGACAAAACCGCACGCTGTAAACGGGGCCTTCTCACAGCAATAGAAACTGCTCACCAGCGGACCACACACTACTGGTGCCCCCCTCAAGTGGGAATTCGTGGATCCTCACTCGGCTTCCTAGGGGGTTCAGGCTAGTA